GTTTATATAAGGGTTAAGTTTTGAAACTGATCTTTCACTAATGAAACTAATAAAAAATCTGGTAAGAAATGGAGTAAATTACCCAAGTTTCTAAACATTTCAAAACCCTACCAAGTATTATAGAACTCTTTGTTTGTTAAACATGTTATAAAACTTACGTTTAACGTTTGAAAAAATGAATAAAAAATAAACCAAATCGCAAAATAAACATTGTTTATATAAGAGTTAAGTTTTGAAACTGATCTTTCACTAATGAAACTAATAAAAATCTGGTAAGAAATGGAGTAAATTACCCAAGTTTCTAAACATTTCAAAACCCTACCAAGTATTATAGAACTCTTTGTTATAAAACTTACGTTTAACGTTTGAAAAAATGAATAAAAAATAAAGCAAATCGCAAAATAAACATTGTTTATATAAGAGTTAAGTTTTGAAACTGATCTTTCACTAATGAAACTAATAAGGATCTGGTAAGAAATGGAGTAAATTACCCAAGTTTCTAAACATTTCAAAACCCTACCAAGTATTATCGAACTCTTTGTTTGTTAAACATGTTATAAAACTTACGTTCAACGTTTAAAAAAGTGACTAAAAAAAGACGCATGAAATACGGTTTACTGTCTCAAATCTTTAAACTTTTTCCCTTACTTTCAAAATTTCTTTTCAAAACAAATCCTCATGGAAATTTCTGCATATTATAAGTGTTCAGTTTCTTCGAATGGCTGTGTTATGTATATATATATATATAAAGTTATAACTTATAAGTATATTGTGTTTTTTCTTCTTCTTGGACTGGAATATTTGTAGTAATAAAATGAAATAGTAGGAAGAATTTGTGTTACACTGCCAATATATATGTGTATGTGTTTGTGTGTTTATGTATATAAATTTAGGTTCGTCTCGAATATAGGGCGAACAGACGTTTGTTTTTTTTTCGTTTTTTTTTTGTCTCTCCCTCCCCGGGAATTCATTAAAGAAAAAAATATTTATCCGAAAAGAACAAGTATTATGAACATGATATTATTTGTAAGGAAGCTCCAATAATACAAAATAAACTCTAAACTTACTAGTTTTTTTTGTAATGCGTGACTATATTTGTAAAAGTGTAAGAGAAATTAAACCATTTTTTTATCGTATGTGAGTAAAAAAACAGATATTTTGTACTATTTTCTTAATAACCGTATATCTTGATTACATTTTTCACATATACTATGGAGATGTCTGAAAATATCTTCAAAATAAAATAAATTTTGATATCCAGACAAAATGTGTTATATACGCTGTAAAAACCTTGTTTTCTAAGTTAAAATAAACATTGTGTTATTTCACAACAACACAATTTTTCTTCCCCAAGCACAGGCTTGTATAAACTACAATACAATTGATTGTTAAAACTATATGAACACACAAACCTTGTGTTTCAGAACAACACAAGTTGTGTGCGGTTACGGTTAACAATTGTGTTTATTTAGTTACTCTGTTGTGTTGTGAAGTCATTTATTTTTGTCATGTGTATAAATCATGTAAGATTCAATCCAATGATTGTCCACCAGCCAAAACATTCGTGTTCTATTTTGTTAACCTTCAATTGTTGTGTTGTAGCCTTTAAAACACCGGGTTTATGTTCTAAAGAACAGAAGTTGTGTTGTTCTTAACACAAGTTTTTGTTATTAGTTTTTTACTTGGTAGTGCTAATAAATATCAAATAAGCGTTATTTTCAGAAAGTGCTAATTCCGAATGATACTCTGAAATATCTCTCCTTATTCAAAGAGATTTTGTTTTCGTTTATAAATTTAAATCAGAGTATGAGGAGGAGTGTTATAATATTATTTCACTTTCAGCCTAAGTGAGAGGACTGAAGTGATATGTCATCACCTTTAGTTAAAGTGAGAGGACTGAAGTGATATGTCATCACCTTTAGTTAAAGTGAGAGGACTGAAGTGATATGTCATCACCTTTAGTTAAAGTGAGAGGACTGAAGTGATATGTCATCACCTTTAGTTAAAGTGAGAAGACTGAAGTGATATGTCATCACCTTTAGTTAAAGTGAGAAGACTGAAGTGATATGTCATCACCTTTAGTTAAAGTGAGAGGACTGAAGTGATATGTCGTCAACTTTAGTTAAAGTGAGAGGACTGAAGTGATATGTCGTCACCTTTAGTTAAAGTGAGAGGACTGAAGTGATATGTCGTCACCTTTAGTTAAAGTGAGAGGACTGAAGTGATATGTCATCACCTTTAGTTAAAGTGAGAGGACTGAAGTGATATGTCGTCACCTTTAGTTAAAGTGAGAGGACTGAAGTGATATGTTATCACCTTTAGTTAAAGTGAGAGGACTAAAGTGATATGTCGTCACTTTTAGTTAAAGTGGGAGGACTGAAGTGATATATCATCACCTTTAGTTAAAGTGAGAGGACTGAAGTGATATGTCATCACCTTTAGTTAAAGTGGAGGACTGAAGTGATATGTCGTCACCTTTAGTTAAAGTGAGAGGACTGAAGTGATATGTCATCACCTTTAGTTAAAGTGGGAGGACAGAAATGATATGTCGTCACCTTTAGTTAAAGTGAGAGGACTGAAGTGATATGTCATCACCTTTAGTTAAGGTGAGAGACTAAAGTGATATGTCGTCACCTTTAGTTAAAGTGGGAAGACTGAAGTGATATGTCGTCACCTTTAGTTAAAGTGAGAGGACTAAAGTGATATGTCGTCACTTTTAGTTAAAGTGGGAGGACTGAAGTGATATATCATCACCTTTAGTTAAAGTGTGAGAACTGAAGTGATATGTCATCACCTTTAGTTAAAGTGAGAGGACTGAAGTGACATGTCATCACCTTTAGTTAAAGTGGGAGGACTGAAGTGATATGTCATTACCTTTAGTTAAAGTGGGAGGACTGAAGTGATATGTCATTACCTTTAGTTAAAGTGAGAGGACTGAAGTCATCACCTTTAGCCTTTCTTGAAATGTTGAAAGCATTGAGGTATAATTATGTGCCATTCGAAATATATTATATTTTGAAATCACGTACTATGTTTTTGCATGTACATTTTTTATACACTTACTGAACTTTTGTACTGCAACTGAGGGAATGTAAAAAGCTGCCATAAGACATCACTTCTGCTGAACTGACATACGGTGCCATCTGTTGGTATAAAACTTCATCAGATCTAATAAATATCTTAATGTTGTTCAGTTTCATGGTGCACCAACAGTTGTATTACATCTGTGATTTGTATATAAAACACACGGCGGCATGATTCTTGGTCATCTGCAAAGTGTTGTATTGTGAGTTTGGCCAAATTTGATTTGTAGTAGTTAAGTAGTTGCTTTAGAAATAAAAATAAAATTATGTACGTGTATGTGTGTTCTAACGGTATGGTTGTACGTCATTCTCAGAACTGTAATGCAAAGGAACTAACGACGATCAGTAACTGTAGATTCAATAGACACAAAAATACGATATTTGAGAAATCAATAATTTAAGTTTAAACTACATAAACTACCTAAACTAATATTTATTCCAACATAATTACTTGAAATTATTCTCCTTACTAAATAAATATAACACACGTAACTTAAGAAACTAATATTTTTCCAACATAATTATTTGAAACTATTCTGCTTACTAAATAAATATAACACACATAACTTAAGAAACTAATATTTTTTCCAATATAATTACTTGGAATTATTCTGCTTACTAGACAAATATAACACACGTAACTTAAGAAACTAATATTTTTCCAACATAATTACTTGGAATTATTCTGCTTACTAGACAAATATAACACACGTAACTTAAGAAACTAATATTTTTTCCAACATAATTATTTGAAATTATTCTGCTTACTCAATAAATATAACACACGTAACTTAAGAAACTGATATTTTTCCAACATAATTACATGAAATTCTTCTGCTTACTCAATAAATATAACACACGTAACTTAAGAAACTAATATTTTTTCCTACATAATTACATGAAATTATTCTGCTTACTAAATAAATATAACACACATAACTTAAGAAACTAATATTTTTCTCCAACATAATTACTTGAAATTATTCTGCTTACTAGACAAATATAACACACGTAACTTAAGAAACTAATATTTTTCCAACATAATTACATGAAATTCTTCTGCTTACTCAATAAATATAACACACGTAACTTAAGAAACTAATATTTTTTCCAACATAATTACTTGAAATTATTCTGCTTACTAGACAAATATAACACACGTAACTTAAGAAACTAATATTTTTTCCAACATAATTACTTGAAATT